CAACATACAGACACTGGGTCTCTCAATGATAGAACACACAGACTTTATTCTTGCAGTGTTTAACACACACTGCACACCACAGTCATCACTCACACACCCCTGGTCCCAGCGACCTACTGGGGCTACGTCCACACGTACACGGGTATTTTTGAAAACGGAGATTTTTCGTTTTAAAAAATAATCCCGTCCACACGTAAACACAGAAATGAAGGAAAACACTGCTAGGAAGATGCCAAAGCAGCAGGTGGCGCTATATTCCTAACCATGTAGAAATGTTGGTCAATCAGAAGTCTAGAAGCCTCGGTGGGAAATAGTAAACAAGGATGGGGCATAGAAGCGGAACAGAGTCGTATGTGTGGCGGGACAGTAACTGTGTGTGTATATGTAAGCATTTAAACACTGCAGAGTACAACTAACAGTAATAGTATTGTAGAAATTCATTTCACCGAAACAATAACGTGGCGCACAGTGACGTCAAAAAAGGCGCACACCTTTGACGCTGCGTTTTCTCCGTTTTTCTCATCCACACGTAAATGCAAAAACGAGTTTTTCAAAAATATCCACCCTGGCCGGAGTTTTTAAAAATCTCCATTTTCAGTGACTGAAAACGCCGTTTACGTGTGGACGAAAGGTACAAACACATAGAAAAATCGGCATTTTCAAAAATACCCGGGTACGTGTGGACATAGCCTGAGACAAAATAGAGGAATCACAATTAGATGATGACTGGCAGCTGTGGCCGCCCGACTCCTCCGACACTGTCTCCAAAACCTCTCCACCCATTCACCACACCCACCCACTCTAATTATCAAGTTAAGTTTGCTGTTAGCCAAATTTAGGTTACAAATTTGGTGTGATAGTCATAATTTTAAAAGCATTAACCAACTTTTTGGCTCAGATAATGTAATTTGGTCAGTTGGAAGGTTGATCCTAGAACATTTATGACGAAACAGGAACCTTACATGACTGGAACAAAATTTGTTTTTGTTGAACCACACAAAAGAAAACCAGCTGGACTGCAGCTGCTTTCACACTTCAGCTCTGCCTCAGTCTGAGACTCATGGACTGATATTATTCTGCTCCAGGGCTGTGCAGAGATCTTTAAAGGGGCGGGTACTCAAAGTTAAAAAGGGACACATAGAACCATGCTGAAGAACAACAACACACATTCATCAAGAACCTAATATGGAATCATATCATACTATACCACTGTCATCAGGTGGGGACAATGCAAAGCAAATGTAGCCTATTATTATTCACCTAATGGTTTCTTATTCACACTCCCGCACAGAGAGACAGAGCAGGAAATGCAATTCTCAGAAGTAAAAATGGATGGAGATGAAGATGTGATCTGAAGATGATTTCTTCTGTGGTTGGAAAATTTTAGAGAGATAGACATCTGGCTGCCTGACTTCCTCTGTACCCGCTTAATGTGCATGAACAGACAAAGGCCTGTAAATCCCTTTTAAAATGAGAAGAAAGAAATTACTGCATAAAAATTTAAAATTTCATGTCACATTTGCCTTCTGACTTCATCTTTAAGGCCAATAGATTAGTCTACAGGTGAAATTAATAATAATGCTTTACAGAGCTTTTTAAAATGGCAATATGATTTCAGATTCATTTCAGTATGCCTTTGTTGTGTACATTAGATTAACATCTTATAACAGTTGATTCAGTTCATCTGGACGTAGCATTTTGAGACTGAAGAAGTCACTTGGCTCAGTGATGAAATGTTTCTCCCACTGAAAACACCACGTCCAGATGAACTGAATCAACTTTTTGGGATTTACTTACCTGGATGACTGAGAATGCATCAAAACATTTTGAATGTACAAAATAAACCAAATCAAATCTTTATTCACTTAATGCTTATTACCAAAGATTTAAACAAATTGTATTAAACAATGAAGTGAATGTTTACACATTTACAATATCCACACGAATAAAAAAATATATATATATTATACTCAAATTACGTCAAGTATATTAAAATGCTTGCACATTGCACATTGCATTTTTTTTACTGCATTACAAACTTCTTAAAGCAAGTTTAAAAATAATAAAGAATACAAAATACATATGCAAAATGTAATAATCTTCCCTTAAAAATAAAACTGCCCAGAGAGTGGTTTGTGCTTTCAGAGTGCTTCTTGTTTGCTGTATTAAGTTTATATTCCAGTACAAGCTAGATTAACATCTAATAAACTAGTAATGATTGTTACATGTGTTACACATATACACAGCTCTAACGTTTATAATAGTCCACTGTCCAAGGACACATTTTGTTATATCTGTTGCATCATTCTTTATCAAAATGCAAACACAGCCATAAACAGCAGTATCTTCCTAAAAACATTAAATATGTACACTGAGGACAAACATTCATGTTCATACTCTACTTTTTCCTGACTGTGCTGTACAGTGCTGATGAATACTCTGCAGCCTGTTGATCTCTTAATCTGTAAAGGTAAACATGATGTCAATAAAAATCACAATATCAGTAACATTAAGTGTTTTCTTTTCTTAAGTTAGACCAAAGTTACACCAAAACTAAATAAATAATGCATTTACAAAATCAAAACAAAGAAATTATGGAAACATTCCCACAGAAAATAAGTGTCCTCACCTTTGGGTGCTGTTTAATCTGACCACAGTGTAGTCCACATCTGTTACTTCTTCATCCTGTTCTTTTCGTCTTTTGGTCTTAATGGGAAGAATGTTGTAGTAGTCGTGCTCTTCTGGCTTCTTTATGAAAGTTACACTGGAATAGCAAAGATCATCCTGCTGCTCCTCTGCTGCTCTACTCTGTGCTGGAGCTGAAGGGCCGTCACGCTTTGGACGTCCACTTGGTGCAGGGTCAAACATGTAATAATATGAATTTTCCTGAAATGCAAGATAACCATAAAAGATGAAAAGTCATGGTTGGACCTCCCGCCCTCCCCTGCCATTTGAGCCACAGCCTCCCAAACCTTGTATCTGTATTCCTGGAGAGGTTTATATCCCGAGCAAAGGAAGAGCAATGCCATCAACAACAGCATTAAACAAAAAAGTGTCATTTTCTCAACACATGAAAATTGATTACAATTAATCACTGTCTTAACTAAAGGTACCCACACACTGTGCAGTATTAGAAATCAATCATTACAAGCCGCACTGTGCAGTGTGGATCTCATAAACCTGGGTGGGACATGAAGTTTGAAGCATGTAAACTATACAAAGTCATCAAACTTCTGTACAATAGCAGCCAAATTTAAACTTCCCACTGTGCAGTGTATGACAGCAGTATGCGACATATACATTAAAATTGTCTTTTTCAGGTTCATATATGTATACCTGCTACCTGACCGCTTCTTCCTTACCTCTGGTTTGTTGTCTGGCCTCTCTCTGGATGAATTTGTTTTGAAGCATCTTTTTCTTCAGTACAGAAGGATGAATGAACATTTTAATTAATTATATGAAATCAATAAAAAACATTGATTAAAACATTAAAACTGAACTGCTCACCTAATGAATATGATTCCACAGATGATTATAACAGCCAGAAATAGAACAGCCATGGATGCAACTGCAGCTGTTTTTTCCCATGAGTCTAGGAAACCAAATTGAAACCAAATTGACCAAAATGAAAACTTGTTACTGCACTAAGAGATTAGGAGATGGACACAAAAGATCAAACTGATCGACCAAACTCTTCAAATTAAAGACTTATTCTGAATCTAATTCTAACTCTAAACTGTAACAATACTAAAACCAACATTAGGACATTTTACAAATCCATTGTGCTATTATGTTGATTGTTCCTAATGCCAGGAGAACAACTGTTTGTGTGTTAAAATGTGCACACCATGACCTTTAGTGAACTCGACCTCAACCGACTCAACACTAAATACAGAGAAAACAGAACAGTAAGACTTGTTGATGGCATTAGCTAATGGGACTAATGGGAGCCCACTTAATTTCATCTACAAAGCTCCACAGCTGCAAGTATCAATTAAATTCTCTCTGACATATTTAGGACAATGACAGTGTCTTTTGTAGCTGCTACACACTGATTACCATTGAACCTGAAAGTTTGCCCATGTCACACTGGTCAGTACTTTAGAGGATTTCATTTACTCTCTTTCAGTTTGTATTTACAAAATGTCAAAAAGTCACAGATGACAAATGACAAAAAACACTACCGTTAAAGACATAATCATATTTCTAATTAAGAAAAACAGAGTTGGATATCCAACACTGGCAGCACTGACTATGGCTATGACAGCCAGAGGAAATAGATTTTCAAACATCAGATTGGAGAACAGTTAAAACATTTCATGCCACACTTTTACTTACTTGTGAAATGCTCTTTTGATTTCATTGTTGGTCATTATCATTATTTGGGTGTTTCGTGGAAAAATAATAATGTATGAATGTCTCTCTCAGTGGTCTTTTGGGTGTGATATAATAATATAGGGTCTCACAAAAAAAAGTGAGTATGAGGTGAGTATATTGTTCATGATGATAACCATGAAGAGCATTACTGTTAAAAACGTCTTTGGCAGAAAACACTTGAGCCAACTGCAAAGCTTGAGGACATGATGACGGCTAACCCTAACCCAGTGAAGAGGTATTTTATTTATCTTACCTAACTGAGACTGGTAGTTCAAGAATGCCAGAATAAACTAGATAAACTGTTCTGTAACCGTAAGACAATCTGATGCTGTGGAAGAAAGTATAATAATAAAAATGCAGCAAATATGTATTCATTTTTGGTGCTCAACCTAAAAAATGTCTACAAGTGGCACAAAAACTTTCTATAATTTTGATTATCCACACTTGATAGTACGGAAGAGGATTAGGGCCACTGGAAAAAAAAAAAAGAATTCTGACTTTAATCTCAGAATTCTGAGAATAAAGTCACAGATTTTCAAATCCTAGAGTTTCAATGTCATGATGCCTCTTTTCTGAATCTGAGATTATATATACATATATTTATATATATGTACTTGACTCACAATTTACTTTGATGGAGATGTATTCAGTCATTGGCCATTTGCCCAGCTCTTTCTCAGCGGTACAGTAATACTCTCCAGAATCAGAAGATTGGATGGACCTGAAGTTGATTTGCTTTTCTTGGCTGATCTGTTTTTGTTCCTTGTACCAGGTGTATTTAGCCATTGGATTAGCATCACCAGTGCAGGCCAGAGTCACTAAACTGCCCTCCACTATGTCACCAGAGGGACTCACTGTCACAGAGGGAACCTCTGGAACGTCTAAAACAGAGAATATTAACATTAGATTATTAATTTTCATGAGTTGGCTTTAGAAATTAATTTGAATACATTTTGTATTCAGACCCCTGTGAGTAGAACACCAAGGGAGTCACCAAGGCCCAAAAAAGGGACATGGGCCCATCCTCCTGCAGGCCCACACCCACAGGAAGCACTGTTGGGGTCGGGTGCATTGTGTGCCTTTGGGTCTGGGAATTTTTCCTGACTGTCATCTGCGCTTATGCGCCAAGTAGCATTTCAGAGCACCCAGCCTTCTAGGAGTCCCTGGGTGGGGTGCTGGAGGGTGCTCCTCCTGGGGACTCTATTTTCCTACTGATAGACTTCAATGCTCAGTGGGCGTGATTGGGTGGCGTGATTTCCTTAAGTAGATATTTGTCAGAGTAAATTGTTAAATGTTGTCATTGTTGTACTTAAATTTGTAAACCGTGCCATAAACTGCATGGTTAGATATTCGTCTGGTCCTCCCCTACACATCTGGGGGAGGTAATTAGCTGTAGCTGTTTAACTGCAGGCACATTCCATGTGAGATTCTGGGTTCCTTATCTTGTGAGGGATGTCCATCCCCGGCCATATAGGGGCTTGCCTATGCTTGCATATGGTGAACCATTAAAGTTAAGTGTGGGGAGATGACCTTTAGATAACTAGGGAATGTGGTTAAACAGCTGTAAGCATATATTGTGTGGCAGGAAGTCATGTACACAAGAAAGGCTGTATATTTGAAGTTGGCTAGGAAAAAGGTGAGGAGCGTTCAGCTCCAAGATCTTGGGTTCCGACCAGCCTTCTGTTGCTAGCAAGTAAAACCCGGTTCCATCATTGTCTTGCTTTCGTCATGAGTAATGAGTCTCTGAACTAGCGGGTTTGCTGAAGCGCCAAACCTACAATATTCCTCTTAAACCATACACATATATTGTTCAAGGTACTGCTGTCTTATTTGCTTTCATCACCACATGCCAGTCCACAGGTAGGAAATGATAGGAAACAATCTTCCATGTTCTCTTATCAGGATCAAACAAGTCTTCAGCACAAAGACTGTTATTTTGGACTTTGAGTACCTGCCTCTGATTCCTGAACCTGACTCTGCTCGCCTTTAAACTGTACAGCAAAACACTTGCAGAAATTAGATGGTTGAATAGTATTGTGAATTGTACTTAATATCTAATATTTTGGTTAACAAAAAGCCAAAATTATAAAAATTATTCACCATGTTTATCACAGTAAAGTAAACTTACACACAGGATCTGAGGGACAATCTTCATGTCCTTTGAAAGCACAGGAGATGATGTCTCCAGGATTGAACAGATCTTGATAAGAACTTCGTTCAGCCATAAACTGATTGTTTTTGAACCAGACGAAAGAAAGACGACCGGCTGGACTGCAGCTGCTTTCACACTTCAGCTCTGCCTCAGTCTGAGACTCATGGACTGATATTATTCTGCTCACCTTCACCTGCAGATCTGAATATGACAACACAGCAGACATCAGACATTAAATACTAAAAACAATAAATACAACCATCAACACAACAGAAAAACTGAGCTGAATGAAATAATCAGTGTGTATTCATCAGTACCTGTGACAGTCAGAGTTGTTCCAGGTAAACTACTCCTCCATTCAAAGTCTTGTGTTTTGAATTTGAAGTGATACTCGGCTGAATCACTCTCTGTCAGGTCTCTGATTCTCAGAGTGGAGAGTCCTCTCTCTGTTTCAATCACCTCAGCACGACCTGCATACTGGGAGTCTTCTGTGAGGTCCTCAGATCCACGACCAGAACGGAACCAGGACTTTGATTGGATTGGATTTTCATAACTGTTGTAAGTACAAGAAATGTCCACCGATGATCCTTTGACTGCACAGATTCTTCTGTTACTGTAGTTCACTTTGTTGCACCATCGACCATATGAACCTGAGAAAATTAGAATGAATAAAAAAAATATAATTTTTAAAAAAAACATATTTATTGACAAACCCCTGACATTAATTATTTTAACCTTTTGATTGATTAAAAGTTTTAATTCAGGTAATATCTCAAAGAAAACTTACAAACTAACGGAGAGTGAAAGTCTTCAAATCCTTTTAAAGCACATGAGTAGCTGTTTTTATAGTCATATGACCTTTGATATGGGTAGCTGTTTGAAGTGGCACGTGGCACGTCATAAGAAGAAGAGCTGGCTCCAATCACTTGTTGTCCATTTTTGTACCAGACATAAGATGAAACATAAGGATTACATCTGGTGACACAATCCAACTGTCGTCCATTGAACCCTCTGACCTGAACATCTTGACCAGTGGACAAGAAACAATAAATAAGATGTCAGTCACTCTCACACTGAAGGAGACAGTCAAATTCACAAGTTCTAAAATACATTTTTAACAAAGTAATATTTCTCTTAATGTTTATACGTGAAACGCTTTTAAAAGTTTAAACTGTAGTTTAAAAGCACAGTAGAACATACAGATAGAATATTAAGCTGATTAAATATCCATCAGTGTGTGTTGATCAGTACCTGTGACAGTTAGAGTTGTTCCAGGTAAACTACTCCTCCATTCAAATCTTTGTGCTTTGAATTTGAAGTGATACTCGGCTGAATCACTCTCTGTCAGGTCTCTGATTCTCAGAGTGGAGCGTCCTCTCTCTGTTTCAATCACCTCAACACGATCTTTATACTGGGAGTCTTCTGTGAGGTCCTCAGATCCACGACCAGAACGGAACCAGGACTTTGACTGGATTGGACTTTCATAACTGTTGTAAGTACAAGAAATGTCCACTGATGAGTCTTTGACTGCACAGATTCTTCTGCTACTGTAATTCACTCTGTTGCATGAATCACCTCGGACACCTGAAACATAAAATGATTTTGAGGTCAGATTAAAGTAACCAGTGATAGTGAGTTTGACTGTTTTTATTCAATTGTATGTAGTGACTCTACAAGATTGTTTTATGTTACTAAACTCACACACTGAAGGAGATGGGAAATCTTCATGACCTCTTACAGCACAGGAGTAGCTATCTGAAGGATTCGGATTGTCTGGATACCATTTCTGGTCTGACTGAGTAGAAATTTTCTGACCATTTTTGTACCAGATGTAGGAGGGACGATCATGTAGACGACAACTGCTCTGACAAGTCAGTGTTGCTGAGTCAGAATATGATGATGTGTCCACATGTAGCTGAATGGCTGATTATGTGAAGAAATAAAATCAAAGCAGAAACATAGACATCTATTATCCATATCCAAACACACACAGTTATGTTCATAACAATTTCTGACTGATGTGTAAAAAAAAAATGTTACCTGTGACATTCAGAGTGACTCCAGGTAAACCAGTAAAATCTCCCCAGTCTGTTTCAAACCTGAACTTGTACACAGCTGAGTCGCTCTCTCTCAGGTCTCTGATTGTCAGAGTGTCGCTCTTCCAATGAGAGCTGTATGAAAGTCGACCTGCATACGCTGGGTCTGTTTTCAGATCATACGGGTTATAATTATTCCCTTTAGTGAACCAAACTTTTTTTAACACAATTACTCTTGAAGGGTGTTTGAAGGAGCAGCCTATGTCCACTGTTGATCCTTTTACAGCACAGATCTGAGTAGAAGTGTAAGTCACTGCATAATCATTCTGACTCTGTACCACTGTAACACAGAACACATCAGAATGCAGTCAGATTAATGATAACAAACAACAGTCCTATCTGAAGTCGAGCAATTAAAGCAGGTAAAATAAGTATGGAAAACAAAACCAAATTTCTAAGTATAATATATTTCTAAAGGTGCTATTTACATGAAATACTCACCAGATGTCAGTAACAAACCATCCAATCCACACATGCAAAGAAATCAAACCATAATGCCCATAAATCAAGTTATGTGTAATAATGGGAAATGAAACAGGGAAAACGTATTGAACACTTAAAATATTGGAGCTGCAAAAAAGGCATGGAAAATCATGCCACCAGCTGAAAGTTGTCAGAAATTAGGAAACAATCCTGCCATTAAGTGCAAATTAATCTCAACTGGCCTATAAAAAGGTGTCACACCAGAAACATCTCATGAAGTGTGAAGGCAATAAGCTCTCATGGGGCTTTCACAACCTTATTGTTTAAAATCATTGTGATAGCATTGGTCACAGAAATTTTCTAAACTACTGACGGCTCCAGTGAGCACTGGTGGGGCCATAATGTGGAAGTGGAAAGAACATCATTTTACTACAAACCGGCAATGATCAGATCCTCCTTGCTCAACCACCATTGCCTGTATGAACGCTCACCACGCAAGACTCAATTGCAGAAGAAAAGGCATGTTGAATTTAAAGTCTGCTGAACAACATTTAGACAAGCCTGTGAAATACTCAGAGAATATAGTCTGATCAGATGAGACCAAAATTGAACTCTTTTGATACCATAATACAAACAATGTTATGAGGTCAAAGGGCACTGCATATCAACCCAAAAGCGCTATACCAACAGTGAAGTTTGGAGGTGAGATCATCATGGTGTGGGGCTGTTTTTCAGCATACATCACTGGCACACTTCATACAATTGAAGGAAGGATGAATGGAAACTTGTACTGAAACAGTGGGGGGTTTTTTTGTTTTGTTTTTTGTTTTTTTGCCTGTCCCGTTTGGCTCTTTTGCCATCAGAATTGTTGTCTAAAGGCAAAGAAAGATGCCCAACGGATTTACTTTACCAAATTGACCATCCCAGCCTTGCCATAATGGTCCATTTGATTCACCTTTTATTGTTTATTTTATTTTCACTTACTGAATATGGGACAG